AAGTTATTCAAGGTATTCAGGATACAATTTTATAACATTGTTTGTTTTTCTTAAGCAAAGCAGATGATCAAGAGCTATAAAGCCTCACCTTTAGCTAGAGAAAATCAGGGACCTAGTCAAAATAGCGCCGCCGAAACAGCGCCATTCAAAACAGCGCCATTCAAAACAGCGCCCGTACAAAAATAGCGCCGTTCAAAATAGCGCCGCCAAAACAGCGCCGTTCAAAACAGCGCCATTCAAAACAGCGCCCATACAAAAATAGCGCCAAATTGAAAGAGACTGCGATTAGATTAGATTATTTTTCTTTTTCAAGGTTTGAAACTAGCTATTCTAAGTCTAGCTAACTGTAAGTCTAACTTATAAAATTACTATTGTAAAAGTGTACCGCATCTAGTTTGATCCCGTGTTTTGCTGGATCAAATGGAGAGACAAGGGTTCGACTTGGAGCTCGCGCTGGACTGATTGCTTTGGATGGAGTAGGAGTTCGGACAGGACTTGTTGATCGGGTTCTCAACGGATTTCTGAAATAAGAATCTATGATTTGAAAAGAAGACTATTCTTTAGAATATTTCAATACCCACTGCAACTTTTCATCTAAAACGGGATTCCGAATCGTCGTTATGCTCCGACTCAACAAATCGTCACTCGGCGAGCTTCGATTGTTCGGGCTAAGAATTTGGTAGAGGGATAGAGGCTATTCCAATTAACATTCAGACTTACTATCCATATTCCATTGAATAGGAATTGAATAGGAATTGATTAAGATTCTAGAATCTTTCTTTAGTAAAATTCTCTCACCCAAAATCAGAGAAGAGATCCCCGGGTGTGCGGATCACTATGGCGGCGATGCATACCTAAAATCTTTCAAAATGCAAGAACTAAAAGGGTTAAAGACAAAGTGATAAAGAGATTTTGTCTTATAAGTAAGACTACCTGTCGATCCACATTGTCACCAGTATCGTAGTAGCCGTGAACGGTGAAGCTAAAGGTATTTATAAGTCTAGAGTTATTTGTCTAACTAGATGCATAGAATTGATTAGATTAGAGAGATTAGATTAGATAGATTAGATTGGAGAGCTTAGGTTAGAGAGCTTAGGTTAGAGAGCTTAGGTTAGAGAGCTTAGGTTAGAGAGCTTAGATCGGAGAGCTTAGATTAGAGAGCTTAGGTTGGAGAGCTTAGATTAGAGAGCCTAGATTAGATAGATTAGATTGGAGAGCTTAGATTAGAGAGATTAGATAGATTAGATTAGAGAGCTTAGATTGGAGAGCTTAGATTGGAGAGCTTAGATTAGAGAGATTAGATTGGAGAGCTTAGATTAGAGAGATTAGATTAGAGAGCTTAGATCGGAGAGCTTAGATTAGAGAGCTTAGGTTGGAGAGCTTAGATTAGAGAGCTTAGATTAGATAGATTAGATCAGAGAGATTAGATTGGAGAGCTTAGATTAGAGAGATTAGATAGATTAGATTAGAGAGCTTAGATTAGAGAGATTATATTGGAGAGCTTAGATTAGAGAGATTAGATTAGAGAGCTTAGATTTAGAAGTGAAAAGCACAAGAATCAAATAGTCAGCCTGTATACTTCCAGCTACAGTACACTTGATCTCATCAGTACAAATACCGTATAAACTCGGCTGGATCTTCACAGTAGAGTGTCTGTCTCTCGCTGATGATTCCATTGACGACGAAGTGAAAAGTCCCCTTGAAATCGTGATTGAAATACAAATGAACACCAAACTCTAATGCTATATTTTGCATCGTTTGCTCTCCCACCGCCTCTCGTTGTCACACCAAAAGCAACAGTGATTGTGCTGGCTGAAAGAAGATTGTAAAACTCTAACTTAAACTAGATAACTTAAACTAGCTTATTAAACTAACGAATGAGTTTTGGATGAACGACCACATCAACTCGACCCACAGTTGCAGCAGACAATAGACGAATGGTCAATGATTGAGGATAGCTTCGTTTTCTGGAACTTTTCAATAAGCTTATTGCTTATTGCATTAGCTTATTGCTTTGACGCTTATTGCTTTTAGACGACTAAATATTACTGGAAGAGATGGCAAAAAAAATGACAAGATTGAAATCTCTTACTTGTCCGTCACCCAGCAAACTTTATTGCCGATAATATTGAATTCTTTTAAAGAAGAAATGTATCGCTGCATCTCTTTATCTTCAGATGAACAAGCAACAACTTCATAGTCAATAATACTAGACATTTTTTTTTTGTGAAAAAGTGTTTTTCTAAAAAGAAGCAACTATTTTTGTGTCTCTTTTTCGTCTCCAGCGTCTCCAGGAAGTGAATTGGTGATTAGCTTTTAAAAGCTGCAAGCGGTTGCTAGATTTTATTTATTACTAAATTTAAATTACAAAATTAGACACATTCTATTTTTAAGTTTTGAAAAGAATTTAATTTAATGAGAATTCCTTTAAAGGGGGGAGGGGGTATTAATCGCGGCCGGGTGACCATAAAAAAATTTTTTTACGGTAACCACCTGTTTTTTTAATTTAATATCGCTGATTTTATTATAAAAAGAATAAAAATCACCCGGCTAGAGTGATTTGATGTATAAATAACAGACAAATTTTTACTAGCTCTAAGCTTAAAAAATAGCTTGTAAGCAAGGATTTTGTTTTTTTAACCTTTCAGTTTCAGATACATTAGCATTCAGCGCAAAGAAATATACGAGAAGTTCTTCGCGTCCACGAAACTGATTCAGCTTCTCGTTTTCACATTGCTACCAATTGTCATCAACGTGATTCCAATATGGACTCGTGAGTTGGCAATGTACAGGGTGATCGCTGGGCAATGTCATGGCAATGTACAGGGTGATCGCTGGGCAATGTCATGGCAATGTACAGGAACATGGCAATGTACAGGATGACCCCTGGGCTGCCTGGGCTTGAGCTTGAGCCTAAGGCTGTAGAAATTTACAATCAATGAACCATTTGTAAATGTAAGGATGAATTTAACCGTGAATCTCTACGCGGATCTGTATACATTTGGCGGTTACATGTATCACACAAATTTCTATCGAATCTATCAGCGAAGAACGATCGTCAGCTTTGGGAAAGGATCCTTTAACCCACAAGACACACACATTTGGGGTAAATGGTCGAAGAAGAGAGTTAAGAATTAACTTTAGATGACCTCGTTTAATGAGAATTCCTTTAAATTACCTTTAGATGATTTTTGTGTCTCTTTTTCGTCTCCAGCGTCTCCAGGAAGTGAATTGGTGATTAGCCTTTAAAAGCTGCTAGCGGTTAAAAATACCGACTGGGGCTACCAGTGGTGAATTTATCGCATACACGAAATATATCAATCACAATACAACGACACACACAATACTAGGCTATATCTTAACTTAACCCACGTCATGACAGACGGCTCCCTAACCCTAAGCTCAATGTGGAACTAAATAGCTTTTTTGGTGGTGAAGGGAAGATGACGATGAAGGAGTGGCTTGTCACTTTAAAGAACTGGGGCCACAACCACCAAAAAAGCGGTTGGCTAGATTTTATTGATTACTAAATTCAAATTTCAAAATTAGACACATTCTATTTTTAACTTTTGAAAACAATTCGATTTAATGAGAATTCTTTTATAGTGCCCTTTTCAAAAAAATGCGATGTCGCAAAAGCTACCGTAGTCGCTACGCGTCTGTACAAGTTGCGTCGCGTAGCCCAGCAGCAAACATTTTCTCACTTTTCTTTTCCTTTTTTGATTTTTTTAAAAGCGCAAGCGGTTGCTAGATTTTATTAATTACTAAATTCAAATTTCAAAATTAGACACATTCTATTTTTGAGTTTTGAAAAGAATTCGATTTAATGAGAATTCCTTTAACTTTTCGTCACCTCACTACTGTAGATAGATTTTTTATTTAATCACGTTATTGTTAAATGGTCAAATCTTTTAGGAAACTACGGTACGGAATGGACAGACAGACAATGCTTTTTATTGGGTTGGTGAATTGAAAACTGCGGGCTATTGTCATATGTGACAGTTTGAGCACTTTCTTCAAAAGAAACCCATTTTGGTGTCAATGGAAAAGTTGTAGAGAATCAAAAATCAAGCTTATATCCAAATTTTCAGAACGATTCAAAATACTGGTTTTCAAGAAATGCCAAATTTACGAATTTTCACAAAACTTGCATTTTAAGCGAAACTACTAAGTGTATCTTTTTGGAAATTTGGCTATAAGCCTAATTTTTGATTCTCTACAACTTTTCTATTCACACCAAAATGGGTTTCTTTTGAAGAAAGTGCTCAAACTGGGTTGACAGCTGACATCTCCAGTCCTCGATTTTTGAGTCTCACACTTCTCTCACACACAAACCAAAATCCTACTACGAAAGAGGAATCCGCAAATTGCCTGTAAAATAGGCAGAAGTCGTCAATTATAATGGAAATTATTTGGAATGAATTCATGGTTTTATGTTGAATAAATTTTAGTTCATAGTCCGGCAGTTTTCAATTCACCAACCTAATATAAAGAAATTACAAACCCTTAAAGAGTTCCCGTGCCAATGTGCAACATTTCGGGCTTATTGAAATAAAAGCAGAGAATTGTTCCCAATTGATCTTTTTCAATGTATCGTAGACAAGAGTCTCTGCTACAATCTGAAAGGCGACATGCTACGGTGCTAAGGCACCTTCATACCCTTGGATTTAAATCGAAACTTTGGGCTTGGGTGCCCCATGACCTCAATAACCCTCAAAAGTGGCAGCACGCCCTGATCAGTGCCGTCCATCTCTCACAATACAAAAGGAATTGTGATAGGAATTGTGATAGGAAATGAGAATCCGCAAATTGCCTGTAAAATGGGCAGAAGTCGTCAATAATAATGGAATTATTTGGAATAAATTGATTGTTTTATGTTGAATAAATTTTAGTTCAAAGTCCGGCAGTTTTCAATTCACCAACCCAATAATTTGAAATTTATTATAATTGAAGGATTGAAAATGGCGAAGACAAAGGCAAGAATTCAAATCAAATGCTTAAACTTGTAGATTGAGGATGACTGGATCGATGATATTATAGTCGCTCAATGTGTGCCCATCTTCGAGCGCTTCTCCTGAATTCTTTGATTATTTGATTGTCATAGCCGGATTGAAGCATTGAATTTCCGATTAAGAGACAATCCTCCTAAACAGTCGGCTATCTTCTCACTCATTTACCTTTATAGGAAAGCTTTTGTTGTTCTGGTGGATAACCGATTCGATCCTGAAGTTTTCCTTTCACCGTTTCGATTGAATCCGTTGCCTCAACATCGATTCTGTACCGGATATTCGACGTCGTTTTAGCCACAATTCTAAAAATGAATACCATAAGCAATCAAATAGCTTCATAAGAATCATTCTAATATTTTCAAGAGGTCAAAAATGTTTTTGGTTGCATTTTCATTCACTTTTCGACTTCATTAAGCTTTTAAAAGCCTTCATTAAGCCTTTAAAACCCTTTAAAACCCTTTAAAAGCCTTTAAAACCCTTTAAACCCCCTTTAAAACCCTTTAAAACCCTTTCAAACCCTTTAAAACCCTTTTAAAACCTTTCAAACCCTTTCAAACCCTTTAAAACCCTTTCAAACCCTTTCAAACCCTTTAAAACCCTTTAAAACCCTTTAAAAGCCTTTCAAACCCTTTAAACCCCCTTTAAAACCCTTTCAAACCCTTTAAAACCCGTTCAAACCCTTTAAAACCCTTTAAAACCCTTTCAAACCCTTTAAAACCCGTTCAAACCCTTTAAAACCCTTTAAAACCCTTTCAAACCCTTTCAAACCCTTCAAAACCCTTTAAAACCCTTTAAAACCCTTTAAAGTCTTTTAAAAGTTGATCATTTTGCTATCAAAGTTGACAAATTTCGTCTAAAAAAGCTCTTTTAATGTAATAAATACGATAAATGAATGAAAAACCTACGGAAAAGCATCGACTGCTATGGCTAGCAATAATAAGATGTAGAATAAATGCATTATAAATCTAAGCAAATGAAAGGATTTGTTCCGATTGTTGTCAACAGTTATAAACAAAGTGCAATGACCTTCAAATTTGAGCCCAGCTTTATTTTAGCTCTAACACTTTTTGTCGTTTCGTTGAAATGAGCAAGAGCGTTGAAATGAGCGTTTTTTGTTTTGGAGAAAACAAGTTCCCAAGTTCCTTTGATCACGAGTAAACAACAATCGAAATCTTTTCTGGACATCGGAGCGAGCACATTGCATCGATCAAAGCTACCTTTTAAATCATTTGAAAATCGTTCTGAAAACGTTGCAAAGCACAAAATACATTAGATTTAATGATAAATCTTAATTGGACGTCACTGAAAACTCCGTGAGTGAAAATTAGCAGATAAAAGTCGAAAAGTCGCAACCGCTAACCCGTTTGACACCTCAAAACACAATTTTTTGTCAATTTTGATCTACAAAGTTGTTTAGCTTTAGCCATTTAAGTTAAAGAAATGCCGGCACTTGGCACTTCTATAACTGGCACTTCTATAACTGGCACTTCTATAACTGGCACTTCTATAGCTGGCACTTCTATAGCTGGCACTTCTATAGCTGGCACTCAAACCTCACAAGTTCAGAATCACTACGACAAGACGAGAAGATCAGCGTCGTGAGCAAGCTGAAACAGTTATTGTTTTTTTGCTATTTTTAAATACCTATGTCAAAGTAACTGCAAATGTACAAAAATTAAACGCACATAACTGTCGACGACCTTCCTCAAACGATAGTCGAAGAAAAACGAGGCTATCATGTGGCTAATCGGATAGAAAAACTTCCACATAGCGTTCGAGAGAGAGTTGAAGAGCGTGAGGTGAGTGTGAGGTCTGTGCCAGCTATAGAAATGCCGGCACTTGGCACTTCTAAAACTGGTACTCAAACCTCACAAGTTCAAAATCACTACGACAACTAGAATCATGCTGTTTCTGATGCTGGATATAACTCTTGTCCATTAATCCATCACCGCAAGCATACTAACTATTAGACTACCGCTTGCTCCTTCACAGACTTCATGTTGCTCCTTCATGTTGTCATGTTGCCTCAATAGGCTTAGACGAGAAGATCAGCGTCATGAGCAAGCTGAAACAGTTACTGTTTTTTGCTATTTTTAAATAAAATATAATTGAAACGATCGTTCATTCAAATGTTATTAGGTTGTTCGGATATAAACAAGCGTTGCTGAACTTTTTGTTGTGAGAGAAGCTCGAACCGGATCCATGTCAAACAACGCGTGAACTTCCTCAGCAGTTTTTATATTCAAATTCTACTATTGATGAGCATCTCCACACCATTGGAAAGACGATCAGATGCGGGAAATGGCTTTCTCACGAGCTCAGCGCAAAAAAAGGCTTCACGGGTCGCTATTGCCGGAATCCTCATCCGCCAGATCATGGATGGCTAAAGATCATGGCTTTTTTCATTCTCTCGTTACTGGAGATGAGAAGTGGATCCATTTCGATAATACTATTCGAAAACGGCAATGGCTAGGACTAGGAGAACGGCCAAATCCGACCATAAAACCGGACATTCATGGGAAAAAGGTCATGCTCTCAGTATGGTGGAATAACAAGGGCCTTGTGTATTTCGAGCTTCTACAACCCGGCCAAACAGTCACATCAGACCTCTACAAACAGCAACTCGATCGGGTCAATGAAGCTCTCATTCGTCAAGGAGTAGATAAAGTTCATCCATGACAACGCTAGACCGTTGCAAAAATCACGCAGCAAAAACTGGAGAATCTAGGATGGAAGCTTCTACCACATCCCCCGTATTCTCCCGGTTTGGCTCCCTCCGATTACCATTTATTCCAGTCGATGGAATCAATAATAATGGTGAAACCTTTTGGCTAATGAGAAATTCAAAACCCGTGAAGATATCCAAAATTGGGTCGCCAAGTTTTTCGAGTCATAGCCGGCTGAGTTTTTCAAGATTGGCATCAATTCTTTGTGCAGAAGATGGCAAGAAGTAATCAATAATAATGGTGAATATATTTTGGATTAAACTGTGTTGTTTCTGGTTTTAAGATAAATTTTGTCGACTACTAAAACGCTCGTTTATATCCGAACAACCTAATAAACTGTGTACTCAGTGGTTAAATGATTTATCGAAGAAAAACTGGTAAATGTTATATTTTTGTGCATCGTCAATAAATGTCACTTTGTAGATTCGATCATTTCTCGATCATTTTTGGATCTTCTAGATCAAAAGTAATCATCCATTTGAATTCGATGCTGCTGTTCGACTGGAGATTACAGACTTACAGACAAACAGAGTAAGCACAATTAATCACAAATCGGAAAGTATCGAAATGAGAAAAGAAATATTTATCCGTTGAAATCACAAGCCAACGACAAACCCCTCACTGATTACTCCTTTTTACTTTCCGAAAAGGCTTTCGAAAAGGTTGAATGCTCATCTCTCTTTTCCACAATCCTCCAATTAAAATAAATGATGATCAAGCTGAAAAAAAGTCATTCGAATTTTGTTTTATTCAAGAAAAAAACCTTTGCAAGCAACCGCATACAATCAACGCACACGTGTAGATGGCTTGGGACCCATCTGTGGCCGGCCCGTTCTCGATCACGTTGTTGAAGATGCTCATTGCAATCACGCTCACCAGGGAAACAACCATATTCATCAAGTTAATGCAAATCATCTAGAAGTCTCTTCTTTGCAAGGGATTTGCTGATCAAATCATATGAGCCAGACATATGAGCCATAGACTATTCGACGCAGAATTTCACGCTGATTCCGAATCTGCTTTCCGTTTCTGATATGGAGCACTCTATCAAAAGATCTACGCGTTTAAAGTTTTTGCGAGGAGTTTTAAAAATGAAAACACCCCAATACAACCCTGTCTTTCGTAAGCCAACCGGTTACAGCTTTGGTAGTGACGCAAAGCGTAGGGTGAGGGTAAGGCGAGGCGTAAGGCGAGGCTCTCTAGTTCGAGTCCGTTAGCCGAATGTCTCTTCTTTTTTAGGCCTTAATGCCTTAAGCATTAGTTGAATTCATTTAATGCTTTAGTTATCCCCTCCCTCTGTCCCCTCATTTAATGCTTTAGTTATCCCCTTCCCTCTGGTTTTCTATTGGAATAGTTATGATAAGCGTTTCTTTAAATCAAAGGTCGACTCAATGGGGCGAATGTCTCAGGACCTGACTCAACCTTTAGCCGAGCCCGAAAAGGCATTTGAAGCACCCCTAGGGTGCTTCAAATTCATGGAAAAGTGAGCTACATGGCTTGAACTCGTTTTGTGAATTGCGGATCAAGAAAATCCTAGTGAATGGCGGCTTAACGTTGAGCCGGGCCACTGGCTCCATTGCTCTGGCTCTATTGCTCTGGCTCCATTGCTCTGGCTCCATTGCTCTGGCTCCATTGCTCTGGCTCAATTGCTCTGGCTCTATTGCTCTGGCTTCATTGCTTTAACTCCATTGTTCTAACTCCATTGCTCTAACTCCATTGCTCTAACTCCATTGCTCTAACTCCATTGCTCAAATCAGCCTCAGAACAATTCTATTCCCAATGGCAACTTCGATTACACGAGTTTTGTTTGAAGCATTTATATGGTAACTGTTTGGTCTAACCGAATAACTGATTGGTCAAATACAACCAAATTTTGATAGGATCTGTCCAATCTAGTGCAATCACCTGAATCGAGAATCCCTCTTCGGCTTTGAGCTTTCTCTTATCCACTCCGTCAGTTCCCTGAACCAAACTATTGCCGGAATTAAGCTTCACGGTGATAGAGAAAGTTTTGAAAGAGAAATAAGAGAAGTGGTAGATCAAAACAAGCATTCAAAATGGGTTATAGAGCTTTTGATAGGTTCAAACCGCCTCTCGTTGTCTCATCCAGGTGATCGGCTCGACAATGAGGGACACAAGGCATACGCCCAATAAGATGTAGAAATGAACGGTCACGAGATCATCTAAAGTTAATTCTTAACTCTCTTCTTCGACCATTTACCCCAAATGTGTGTGTCTTGTGGGTTAAAGGATCCTTTCCCAACGCTGACGATCGTTCTTCGCTGATAGATTCGATAGAAATTTGTGTGATACATGTAACCGCCAAATGTATACAGATCCGCGTAGAGATTCACGGCTAGAGTCATCCTTACATTTACAAATGGTTCAATGATTGTAAATTTCTACAGTCTTAGGCTCAAGCTCAAGCCCAGGCAGCCCAGGGGTCATCCTGTACATTGCCATGACATTGCCCAGAGATCACCCTGTACATTGCCATGACATTGCCCAGCGGTCACCCTGTACATTGCCAACTCACGAGTCCATATTGGAATCACGTTGATGGCAATTGGTAGCAATGTGAAAACGAGAAGCTGAATCAGTTTCGTGGACGCGAAGAACTTCTCGTATATTTCTTTGCGCTGAATGCTAATGTATCTGAAACTGAAAGGTTAAAAAAACAAAATCCTTGCTTACAAGCTATTTTTTAAGCTTATAGCTAGTAAAGATCTGTCTATTATTAGCTTATAGCTAGTACAAATCTGTCTATTATTAGCTTATAGTTAATTTAAAGCCAGCTAACCATCTGAAGATGAATAGAAAACAAAGTGCTTCGTCAAATTAGCTTTTCGATTATTAAGAGCAGACTCTCCTTCCCCTTCTGATAACAATCAAATTCCTCAACTTACACTCTACCCTAAAACAAACCGATTAACAGAGATAGCCGTTTCGAGCCATTGCACCGAATAGCCGATGGAAATGTAGAGTGTGCTGATGATTTGATTGAGCATCACTCCACTCCATGGATAACCGATAGAGCTGAGACAATGAGGTCTGAAAAGTTGGGGTTAAACTCTGAACTCCTAGGTGAGATTAGGCACTTGTTATCGTAGCCAAACTCGGCGGTACAGCTCGCAAAGTAGAGCTCGGCAAGGCCACGCGTTGCACGCAGAGTGCAATCGACGAGAAGCAGATAGCGCTGCAGTGACGCCACATTGGGGTTCCTTCGAATCGCTCGAATTGCAAGCAAATTCACCCAGATTGTCGTTTGGCTCAACTGAAAACGTTTGGCTCAACGTTTGGCTCAACGTTTGGCTCAACGTTTGGCTCAACATCAGTTTCATGTAAATTCGATAAAACTCACTAAAATCATTGTCATCCCAATCGTCAAGTCATAGTTGAAAGTCGCGTCTTTGTAGTGACACAAACGATATTGTGCAAAGTAGAAAGAATTCATATATTTCCCAAAATTCAGTTTTCCCTTTGGCATGTGCTTTGTTGGATCGATGTAGTTGCATTTGAGATTTAGTCCCTTGGCCAGGGATTTCATGTTGAAGTGGGTAGAGACGGCGATTGATGAATTACGATCGATAAATTGAACTCGATAAATTGAACTCGATAAATTGAACTCAAATATTTCGATATGAGGCCGATATTTACACGTTTACCACCTGTAATTTGGTAATTAGAGGGAAGACTTTTGGCCTTTCCCCTCCCTCCACGTGAGAACACAAAAACCGTAAATCAAACTGTAAATCAGAGCAATGTTGAGGCGAAAACGGAAGTATTGGGTTGATGCATAATTATCCGGACTTCTTTTATAAATGATTTTATTTAACAAAAAATAACATAAATAGTTAGAAAAATATGTTTAATTGATTATTCTGGAGCATATTCACCGCCTACATCAATAACTGATTGCCATTTGCTTGGAAGACGATCGATTCCACGAGCGAAGAATAAACGATCTTTGGAGGCAATCCACGCTTTAACATCGTCTATCAAGTCATCCAAATCGTTGTAGATCTTATTTGCTTGCCAATTTTTGAGCGATCGATTGACGTGGTAGTCCGTTGGGGCTTCTCCAGTTCTTTGAGATCGCGAAACGACTCTGCGGCAGACCATCCCTTTTCGAAGTGGTAGAGCATGATATGGCGAAGATGGATATGATTGTCGACACGCATTTTGTTCACTAAAGAATAACGAATATTTAAAAAAAAGAAATAGACAAAAAGCTTTCAAAACAAAAAAGATACAAGCACGCAAAAAGAAGTCCGGATAATTATGCATCAACCCAATATTTTCCTTTTTTTATCAAAAACTCAAATACAGGGTGCGTCATAATTATTGCAACAAGATACTCAAGGCATTGCACACCAAGAAGTTTCACTGGAAGAAGATTTTTAAACAGAAATAGCTTTATTTAACAGTAACAAATAAGGAAACAAGAGATCATTCGATATGACCGCCTTTTGCCTTGATAACAGCCCCTAATCGTTTCGGATATGCCTCCACTGCGGCCCGAATGTCAGCTTGAAGAGTCGCCTTCCATCCTTTGGTCAAAGACTTCTTCAAAGAATCCAAACTTGTGTGTTTTCGAGAGCAGACATTAGCCTCTAAGATTGCCCAAATGGAAAAGTCCATCACATTGAGATCCGGTGAGTTTGGAGGCCATTCATCCTTGGTGATCACTGAGGGAAAGTTGGCCACACACCAGTCCTGAACCGTCTTCTTCGTGTCAGCGGGAGGCAATTAGGCAAGAATAAAGAAGATAGAACGCAACACAACAAAAAAGGAGGCAAAAAACAATAAGAAAGCTGTTTGGAAAACGGTCTTTGAACTCTTGTTGCAATAATTATGACGCACCCTGTATAATAGAGAAACAAATTATGAAACGGATCATGTTCTGACAGATTTATTCCTTTACTTCGTTCTTTTTCTCATTTGTAAATAGAATTCTTTTGTATTCGCTTTTTTCAGGATAAAATCACAATTGGATTTGCGAGCAGCCATTGTTCGACTCCCGTAGAATCACAAATCGGTGATGACTCTCACAGGATAGCAAATTTCACGGCTTTTGCCTAATCAGACAGCTTCAGAAGCAATCAAATGCCACAAAGAGACTGGGAAATTGGAAGATTGATCTGGACGAGCCAACAATCCAATCAACAATTTGTCAACAATCCAATCAAACGTCGAAAGATCTTTCAAAACCTGAGATCACAGAAAAACTGGCTGCTGCAATTGGAATGGAAAAAGATGGCTGCTGCAATTGGAATCTCAAAGACCACTGAATTCTCAAAAAAACACGGAATGAAGGCAAAAGTAACCGGACATTACTTAAACGATCAGATGAAGAGAGAGTCGAGTCAAAAGAGAGTCGACCGTTGCAAAAAAAGGACGATCACGATCTCACGATGAAAATTGGTTTAACATCGATACTCATAACCATCAAAACGATAGGACTTGGTCAAAGAACCTGCTTGATCAGCGTATCTCACGACAGAAACCTCAACAAGTTATCGGGAAGAGGCCTCTGATTTCCCAGCTGGAGTCAAAGACAAAGATCATCTAACATGTTAAAACAGAAATTTTCCCTTAGAGTCAGCAGCACTTCGGAAATAAGCCAGTATCTCAGCAGGATGGAATAATGCTCGAGATTGAAACGCAAAGAATTTTCCTGATTCGATCACAGTTGACATAAGCGCAGTAAAACCAGGAGAATGGCCGGATTTGAATGTTTTGGATTACAGCATTTAGTCGATCTTGTAGTTGAACTGTGAATTTGGCTTGTATCCATTCAATTTTTCACTTTAATTTGATGTTTCGGGAAATTACTGGGCTGCAGTGGGTCACACTTCGACATTTACCATTTCCTTGCAAGAGGGATTTTCGTAACGACGTGCAAAACAACAAAAATATTTCAATAACTGTAAAAGTTCCTTGTTTTTTTTTCTCTTTCTTATAAGCAACTGTAGAAAAAAGAAGAAATTTATTGAGCTAAGTCATTTACTGGAAAATTTCGAGCTGATCGTGTTGATTGATGTCATTTGTCGCTCTCTCGTCTCCAGTTTTCGATTGAACATTATGATTACGAGGCTAAAGAAAAAGAGGGTTTTATTAGTTATTTATTAGTTTATTAGATTAGTTTATAGTTTGTTAGGCACAGAAATTGGTGATTTCTAGGGCTAAAAGTAAACTAATTTATGTCATTTTCATTAACATGGCCTTTTTTTCGTAAAAAGTTCAGAAATATCTATTCTACGTGTTTCTACAAGCTTGTAGTTTGTAGCGTCCATTTCTAGCTTTGTACTTGTAGTTTGTAGCGTTCATCTCTAGCTTTGTACGTGTAGTTTGTAGCTATCATTTCTAGCTTTGTACTTGTAGTTTGTATCGTTCATTTCTAGCAAGTTTGTACTTGTAGTTTGTAGCGTCCATCTCTAGCTTTGTACTTGTAGTTTGTAGCGTGCATTTCTGGCAAGTACCGACTCACCTCTGTAATAAGCCCTCAGCCCACCCTGTGGCGGCAACAATAGAGAAATACTGAGCCAGTGTCGAGCCGTTCTGTTGCAAAGACGAGTCGGATGGAGTGGCGGTCAAGAAGATCTTCGACCAATCAAACACGTTGATCGTGTGAGTGAGCATCATCTGAAAGTCGATCATTCGATCGATGCCTGTTTCACTCAAAAAAAAGCTTTTAAAGGCTCTTAAAAGCTCTTAAAAGCTCTATAAAAAAGTCGAGATCTCGCAAAACCTTTACCTGAGCCGAAAGTCGGATATCGGTGCGCATTTGTGCAAAATCAGTCTTGCTCGATTTCATTTGTCGATGAACTTTACGCAACGTGAACACGTCGACGCTCACAGCGATTAGACAAAGTGCGAAGAGTATCCACAAGTTGCTGATGATGAAGGTGTCTGCAAGGTTTCATTTCAGAAACTCCCAACTCTCTTTCCTCTCAAAAACTTGCCAACAAATGTCCCGAATCGTCTCTCATAAACGCCATAAATGTTAGTGTTGTACAGGTAACCGGGCAGAGTGTAGAGGTCAGCCTCGGCATCCAACGGAATCACTGATTTTCTCTTTTTTTTTCATTGTTGAGTATATAGTAAGATACTGAACTCTAAAATACACTAAAATACTAAATCCGATCGCCTAACTACTAGTTTGTACATAAATAAATGAACATTCAAAAATTCCTGGTTTCTCTATGAACTTGACACGAGCAAATCTTGTGCTCACCCCGGAAAACTCACATTCAAATGTGGCAACGGGTGCCGCATAGAAAATGAATGGAATGAGAAGAATCGTGGCGATTTGAATGAGTCGACCCTTTGATACTGTTCGATAATAGCGACCGTCAAAGGAGACAGCGAAAAACCTCAAAATTGTACGATCATTTCTGTGCAGACCCAAAGAAGAGTCCAGAAGATGCGGAATTCAGAAAGCAGATCCGATCCGGGATCCGGGATTCGATCTCGATCCCTGGATCAAATCTGGATTCAATCTAGATCTCTAGATCAAACCCGGATTTGATCTCGATCTCTGGAGCGAATCTGGAACTGATCTAGATCTCTGGAGAGAATCCGGTAGTGTCCCCAAGACCATACAGGATGTCTCAAAATTATCCGGAAAACTTTTTCGAGTAGTTATCGCAAGCTTAATTTCTTTCAAAGTGTCAAGTGTTATATAGAGAATTGTAGCCCTGAATCTTAGCTACATTTATCTACTAAAACTTTGTCAATCGGATTCATGCAACTCATTTGTCTTTCACTCATTTGTCAAGTCTTTGAATGAGCACTAGTCGATTCCTACCCAACATGCTGCCATTTCTAACGATTTTCTACATAAAAATTTGTTTTAAAAAGAACAATCAAGTAGAAATTTGTGTGGATTTTGTTTGAAAAATGATTTCCAACAATTTCATAGCATAAAAACTAATATAACGAGATACTAAATATCGAAAAATAATCAAATTTCACCTTTTTCCCCTGCGTCTTCAAAGAAGCTAGTCAGCAGTTTGATTTTGGTTATAAAAAGTTAACCAAAACAGTTAAAAGTCATCTTTAATAGTGTTAAATAATATATTTGCATAAAATAAATTGACAAAAACTTTTTCGAACAATTTTTTATGTAGAAAAACTTCAAAAATGACAGCGATCGATCGGGATCGGCTAGTGCTCGTTCAAGGACTTGTTAAATGAGTTGCATGAATCCGATTAACAAGTTTTTAGTAGATAAATGTAGCTAAGATTAAGGACTACAATTCTCTATATAACACTTGAGACTTTGAAAGAAATTAAGTCTGCGAAAACTGCTTTGCCAAAAAGTTGTCTGGATAATTTGAGACTCTGTTGATCAACACTTTTAAGCTCTAAAAGTATCAAAGAAATTCACCTATTCAAAGTAATCGCGTGTTCGAAGCATTGAATCGACGCCTGTGAGGACATATAAAACGTGGAAACGATTTGATTAACGAAAGCCCCACTCCACGGATAGTCGATCACACGGAGACAGTGAGTACTGGAAAAAACGATTTGATTCGAAATGTAGATCTGGACCCAAAGCTAACTTGAACTCAAAGAAAAACTCTTTCAAAACAGAACCCACGGTGTCACCTCGTCTCCATCAAAGCCAAAGAAACAGCTAACAAAGTAGATCTCCGCGAGTCCCCTCAACGAGCGAAGCGTGACATTGCAGAGGAGAAATGCTCTCACCGTTCCTCCGATTCGATCATTCCCCTTCACCACAACGAAAGCAAGAACATTTAGATAGAAAATCATTTGACCAAACTGTAAGTTGAAAGTAATTCTTCTTAAATCGAAAGCCTTACCAAGACTCCACAAAAGCTGACGAGTAGATCGTACTCGGAGAAGTGATGGCACATTCGATTCACCGACCACGTCCACCAATAGAAATACTTTTCTTGGTCGACATCGCTCGGGATTTCGCGTTCGAAATCGCAAATCGTCCACAGAACACTGTAGTTGACCATCGCTGAATCACTTCTGAGTTTCGAGCTTTTCTAGGAGAGACAAAAAATAATTGAGATCAACAAAGAAGCTTGATATCCAAAATTTTGATGTCAATAGCTAAAAGATAGAAGGGGAAAGGAAAATAGAAGCCTTTTAGTCATAGAAGCCTGAGACTTTTGTTGCATTTCATATAGCTTCATTCAAGTTTTATTATTTAAAACCGAATCCTGAGAAAACTAATGACTCTGGAAATGTTCTAGAATTCTGGAAATGGCGAAAGATGACTCGTTCGAAAAAAGAAACTACGGCAAAGTGGTCTCAGAAGTCAGAAAGCCAGGGGTAATTACTGGGACACGGTAAGCAACCTTGAAACTGTCAATTATCGAAAAAGAGTTTTTGTTGTTCTTTTTGTGCTTTACCCATTAATTACAAAGACAACGTGAACCGCTGACGCACTTATTTATGGCTGTTATAAACCTCTTAGAAGGAAGTACAGGGTCCGAGAAAAGTATTGTCGCGCCTCTTTGAACTAACTTTTATGCGATTTAAAGTATCCTTTTACGTTGTGTAAAAAATGAGTTTTATTCAGTTTTTTTCCTCTTTAGAATGGTGCATAGCATTCAATGTGTATTTTTAGAAATGCAAGCTTGCCCTCATCGAGAAGCGACCGCTATGCTTTTGAAAGCCGGAGGGTCGAAGGCGGCCATCTCGCGAAAGCTCAAAACCAACATCAGGACTTTTCAACGACTTGCCAAACAATTGCAAGAGAAAGGACACGTCAAGAAGAAGCGAAAAAAGGAAGACCTCGATCGGTGAACATCCGGAAGCTCATCAAACAGCGAATTGACCGAAACGACGAGCGAAGCTTAGAAAAAATGGCCAAGGAGCTGAAAATCTCGGATTGGTCGGCTCGGAACATTGTGAAAAAGGAGCTGGGATTTCGTAGTTATCGTCTGCGACAAGGTCAGTTTCTTACCGATGATGCGAAATTCAATCGAGTTCAAAAAGCTAAGCGGTTTCTTTGTTTTTTTAAGACGGCACGCATCGAGGACGTCTTGTGGTCAGATGAGAAAATTTTTACCATTGAAGTGGCCCATAATTCCCAAAACCATCGTCAACTGATGTCACCGGCCCAGAAGAACACTTTGAAGCGGAAAATCCGGACACGGGGTCTTTTTCCTAAAGGATTGATGGTTTGGGGAGGAGTGAGTGCGGATTCGGAGACTCAACTTGTTTTCATCGACAAGAGTGTCAAAATCAATGCCCAGGTTTACCAAGATCAGTTTCTCAAGAATGCTGTGATCCCCTGGAGTCGAAAAAACCCTAACATGACCTTCCAGCAGGACTGGGCCCCAGCCCATGGAGTGAAAACCACAATGGACTTGATTCGGCGCGAATTGCCCTCTCATTTCACGAAAGAAGATTGGCCCAGCAACTCGCCGGACCTCAACCTTTGGATTTTTCAGTATGGGGTTCTTAGAGGAACGTTTGAGGCATAAGAAAATCACAAATCTTGGTGAGCTCGAGAGGGAATTGATCGCTGCCTGGAACGATATTGATGCCAACTACCTCCGTGCCACCGTCGGCTCAGTGATCACGCGTCTGAAAGCCTGTATCAAAGCCAAGGAGTCCAATTTCGAACACTTGTTATAAATTTGAATTTTTGGTTATTTATCTGTTATTTTTTTCAATAAATATGTTAAAAGCTCAAATTTGAAAAAAGGTATGATGGTTGGAAAAACGTCAATACTTTTCTCGGACCCTGTATGGTCATAGCTCAATCGTAAATTTTTCGCTCGAAAAGCGAACGGTTCCGGGTTCATTCCCTTTGAGAGCTTATAGCAAAACATTTGAAAAGACAAATTAGTACATTGGTTACATTGGGTTTTTTCAAAAGCAATCGATTTTGAATAAATTATGATTACGATAGCGATTACTTCATCGACACAGCTAATTCTTTCGGCAACACGTGTGCGGTTCGTGATTTCCGAAGACGCACTCGGTGAGCGAGATTTCTACAAGCTTCTTTTGTTAAAAATGTATATATTGTTAAGCTGAATTCCAGATTTTATTTATTTTTTCCTTACAGGACTTTCAAAAATAAACTGGCTCTTCCAGAAATGAGAAGAAACTACGGCGAAGAAACTACTCACCGAGCACTCGACCCCACGATCGGTGGGTCTTTTGAGGCCACGATTATGATTGTCCGATTGTCAATCGTTGACACTTTTACAGAACTTGTTTTCCTTTTAAAAATTTTAATTCAAACTTTTCAACTGTATTCCGAATTGGTCAAGAATCGCTCAGGAAAGCTTTGTGAACAGGTTTCAATGTAAAAATTGGCTGTGAAAAGTTTATCGTTTTCTCTAGTTTCTCAAGTGTTCACTTTTTTTCAATTTTAGTTTTATCACTTTACAATTCATTCGATTTCTGCTTAATTCCAAATCATTTTTAAGAGGTTTATTTGGTGAGGCGATAGAAATGAAAGTAAACTTTGGTTTCATCGAAACAATTTGATTCGATTCGATTCGAGGCCCATTTCTAGTAAATACTCTAGAGACTGCACTATGCATAGAGTTTTGGCATTTTATCAAAGAAAATGTGAGCTCAGATTTCGGTGCTATATACCGTATTTTCTCTTATACATAGTAGTGCACCCTGAGCGTTGCCTAAATTGCTCGAAATCTCGAGAACCGTTTATCAGAACCTATCGATGTGGGGTCGGAAAATGTAGCTGACGATGAGATCTTGTGGGGATTTGAGTGTTGAGCTTCTGTGAAAACTTACAAACCGTAAAATAGTCATCAACTCGGCTCGGCTTGGTGACTACTATTAGAGAGAATACGATAGTTTAATGGAAGTCACTTTACATTAACACATTACTTTTTCCCTTTAGTACTATTTTTTTCGACAAGAGCCTCTGTAGAATCAGAAAAGTTGTGCAATTAAAATCATTTCCATGTAAATACAGCCCCATTTCTGACTCTAGAATTAAAGATTTCTTTTGTTCCATCAGATCGAAAGTGCATTCAATTTGTGAAACTCTAGCCATTCTTTTAAGGAGTTTTATTTGTCACAAATCTTGCCACCAAAACTTCATCTTATTCACGGAAAAGTGGTTGACATTGACCACATCGAAATGTCTAATTATATTCCGATCACAGATCACATCTAGACAAACAAAAGCTCTCCTTTCAATTTTTTTTCGCTCTTTCGAGCTCCCAGTGTCTGTTCCCTTTCACCTTTTCCTTTATTAGCGAAAATATTCTCGAGGATAAGTATTTTCTGAATGAAAAGAGTCTTGAGCTCAAAAATAAAGTTTATTCAAAAACAGTGAGCCTATCAAGTTTTCTTTGTTATAAAAACAAGTTGAGAGCTTGTAAGTTCAATGAGTATTTTTTTATTTACGTTTATGTAGCATTTAAAACTAAGAGATGAATTCAGAAAAACAGTTGACCACTTAACAAATCTGTTTGACAAGATTGACAGTTACCGTATTCTCTCTAATAGTAGTGCGCACTACTATTTTTTCAACCCCCTCCTGGACCGCAATACTATTAAAGAGTGCACTACTATTAGAGAGAATACAGTATATGAAATTTCAGAGGATAAATTTGATTTGATGAATGTTAGCAACAAGAAAACTCAAGGCCCTGCTCTCTACTTTTTAAGTGAAATAGCTCAAAATTGAAAGGCAAAACGTTTTATTTAAAATCAATTGTCGATAGAACGACCGCCAAATGTTGATTCTTTTGTGAAAACTTGAGAATTTTGTAGAGAATCGATAGCTTCTTCAGCTTTTCGAGAACAAAATCTCGATACAATTCACTCAAAGCAATCAAGGCGATTGAAGCAAATGTCCCTGTCCAAGTAGACTGAAAAAGAAATTGTTTAAAGCTAAAGCTAAAAAGCTGAAAGGCCAAATTTGAACGTTTTGAAAGTTTTTGTCATACGTTGCTTGATATTCTCGGAATGGATCGTCAAAAAAACAATTTCAAAATAACTAACCGATATCAATAACCCTTTTAAGTTTTTAAAATACAAAACTTTTCAAACCATGCTCTTACACCTTCTCATCTTCTGAATTCAGCCGAAATCTGTGAAGTTGTGGTGAAGGGGAATGATTGTGCATATCTGAGGTGAGTGCATATCTCCTTTGCAATAAGGACATGGGTAATGCTCAACCAAAGCCTTGATGGCTTAAGTAATCGAAAAGCTGTCTAAATTCAACTACTCACCTTTCGAATGCTTTTAACTGCCTTTTCTTGTGCCGATCTTTTTGCGATAAAAGAGTTGCAGCACCCGGGGAACTCGCTTGTCAATAAAAAAACTGATAAACACTCGTAGTCAGCACGAAAAGCTAAACAAATAATCAATATTGGCTTGATCAACCGTTTCAAATCTTCTTTTCTTAAGCTTTCCTGGAATGATCACTGAAAATAGCAACGAGGAAATCATTGGCATCGGCTCATACGGAAAAGTGCGCGTGAGTGAACTGTGAGTTGTTGACTTTAAATAGACCGGTTTATGTCTGACTTCTACGCAATTAACTGAAGACTTCTTTTAAACTGTACTTAACATTTTTGCAAGTAACATTGTTAGAAGACCTCTAAAATTGTTGAGGACTTTAAAGCTAAAACTTTGAATAACTTTTCCAAGTGCTCATTTCAGAAAAGTGGCTGAGAAGTATTTGCAAGCAAAGACTCCTCACGAGGAAGAAATATTCAGACAAGAGTGGAGAATATTGAGGAAACTCTCTAATCCGAACATTGTCCGATATTATAAGCACAAGAAAACAGAACATGGCTTGTTTGTGATCATAATGGAGCTCTGCGAGAGGGGTTCTCTACGGAAAGGTACGATTGTAATTAAACAGAATTAAACAGATGAACAGATCCCAAGTTGTGATGAAATTCTAAAATGTTGGTTGAATGGCTTTTGTAGCCGGGTACTCTAAACTTGATTGATATTAGTTTTTTAGTCAATAATAAAAAAACAAATGTAAATTAGTAATCGTATAATCGTACAACAAAACTTGTCTTTTTGTTGCAAAGCAAATTGAAATGCAGCTATTTTCTCGTTTAGTCCTTTTCGATGCAAAAATCACCTACAAGTTACCGACAGTGTATTTCTGGATCGATCACTTGTTTAGTGCTTTGCAATATTTACAACAACGGGATCCGTCGATCATTCATCGTGATTTAAAACCAGAAAAGTCGGTTTTAAAGTACTGAACAAGCATCTTGCTTTTCACAAAACATCAACAAACACAACAAACAAAATGTATCGGACACATGTCTGTCAGTTAGAGTAAAGAAGATAATAAAAAAAGTAATCAGCGTTTTCGTCACCATAGACTTTTTGCTAAAAGTTGGCGACTTTGGATGTGCACGTGAGAAGAGCACGAAGAATGGATCACACGTCGGCACAGCTCGATACATGAGCCCCGAAGTGGCATCAGAGAAAGGGGTAAGGAGTTGACCTTTGCTTAGACAAAGAATAGAGAATCACTATCCAAAAGGTTGCTACCAATGTGTTTAGAATTAAGCCTATTAGACATTACTTTTGGTTTTATTCAAATCGTTTTACTTTAGAAGTTTGAAATTTGCCAACTTTATGTTTTATGATACTAGTTGACTTTAGCGAGTAGCTGTATTTTAGATGTCCAATCCGTTAGTTTTCTGTAGTAAGTTTGGCAAAGCGATCTGCCAACACTTTTCCCTGGTAAATGGATACGATCTACGCACTTTTTATAAATCCCTACCCTAATATTAGCCCATTTGATCCGGTTATTGTCACTGTCACTGTCATTGTCATTGCCCAATCACTGACTAATTCAGCTCTTTTTCAGGTTAGTTGCAAGAGCGACGTCTACTCGGCTGGCTTGATTCTATGGGAAATCGTTAATCGACGGTTTCAGATGTTGTTTCTATTTAAATTTTTAAATTTTCAGTATGATATTGAAAGAATATATTTGCGGTTCATCGTTTCGGGAAGAGACTTTCCAGAACGAGTTCAAGAGTGGCGTGTTCAAGTTTCAGCCGCCCAATTGCTCCGATGATGTCCTCAAGGAGCTGTTTCTCAGGTTAGATCAAATAAAAATTATATTTTATGATTTAGTTGTGTCGAGTATAACCCAGAAGATCGTCCTAGCAGTGGAGAAGTCCTCACAAAAATAGCTTCGAGAATAGCTGATGTAAGTGACATTACTCGTATCTACATAAGTTTACATAAGACTTTAGGTCTAGTTATTTGAAAAGTTGTTTTTTTAAAAATGTTTACGTTTAAAGTTTACAATTAAGTCTCAGCCTGTCAGTTCAGACGCCAAGTTTTCAGATCGCAGCAACAGACTATCTGCCAATCGTTGTCGAAGAGAACAAAATATTAATCAACTTGATCGCACCTATTGATCCTGATTTAAACGACAGTTTTTTAAATATCCCTTCAGCATTCACGGCCATCGAGAGTTCGAATGGAAAGGAAATTGAGGAAAAATCGAGCAACATAAAAGAAAGCTCATTTATCAAATCGTCGGAATCAGAAAGGGTTGATTTAATTCTTGATCACCAACGACGACAATCAAAGACAATTCTCTCGATGGAGATTATGGAATCTCTGAAAAATGTGGAGTTAAAAACAAAAGACACACTGTCTTCGTGTCATCCAATGCTTGTGGAAATCAAACGACAAGTGGCTAACTTCAGCAAGCTTCTTGTCGAGTTTAACTCTTTTGTCGTGACTAGAGGAAGTGATGAGGCTTCAAGAGAGATTTTCAGAGATTTACTGAATCTGTTAGAGAAATGGATTGAAAGAAAAGAGCAAGATGTCTCAATGCTTAATGATCTCATCGAGCAACTTGGAAATAAAAAGAATAATTTGAAATCGATAACGATTGCCGTGAAGCACTCTGATGTTAACAAAGTATTTCAAAACTTTGACATAGATTTGGTGCTTGCTTTAGTGTTTTATGTCAATGGTAATCCGGACATTTTTATGAAAGAGATAAAAGACTATATTCGCCTTGGAGTAAAACCGTTATTTGACAAGTGGAAAAGTATTTTTGAGCAAAAAAAATCTGATTATAACATTCGAAATACAGCTTTGTCGTTTATTAATTTTTTTGATGTCAATTTGAATGAAAGATCGGCATTTATTGTAAATGCAGAGGCGACGAATATCGACGAAATTTCAGCTAAAATCTTTTTACATTCTCTTTCAAAGGGATCGATGAGAGAGTTCATTCCGCCTGCTATGCCAGGGAAATGTCTTGTTAAAATAAAAACAAATGACGAAAATACCGGAGTGATCGTTCGACTTGAATGGGAAAAGCCGAAAGAAGGCGCTGAGAATGTGATCGCTTACAAAGTTCAGTACCGCGTCGACACAGAAGCTTGGGTAACGTGCACAACGCTTGATACAAACATAAGTTTTCACTCGTTTCACACTAAAGCCTTTCACTCTTCTAACATCCAGCAACTTGAGCTGAAAAAAGTCTATGCCTTTCGCATTTGCTCAATGAGTGAAGCTGGTGCAAGTGAATTTAAAGACGTCAGCGATCCCGTCCTCATCGTGGATCCCGATGCAAAGTCAGGTAAATGGTTATTTTCAAAAAAGCGCTCTCTAAGCTTGATACTAGGACTTACTAAGTATTATACTTATGTTAATGGTCTCTACAAGTTTTTCAGATGTCTGGGTAGAAGTCTATCATCGATCACCATTTCCCGCCCACTCTGTGAGGGGATTGAATCGAGAGTTGAAAGATGCGGAAGACCCATCGAAAAACGGATACGTGGCGTTATGGTGATTGAATAATTTTTTTCAGATCAACACTAGTCAGCATTTCTTAAAAAAAAGCAAAAGTCGGGATCGAACAAGTGAGGTCTCGCTCTAGAAACGAACGCTGTGACACTCGGCCACGGCTGCATCGAATCGGGTCTGCAAGGAGGCCGCTAATACCCAAATGATCACATTTTCAGAGTCTAACAGAGTCAGAATTCTAACAAAACTTTAGACGCTTATAGCTCCTTGCAGATTGTCATTTAGGAAAAACGGGAAATTCTGCAAAATACATAAGAAGATACCTTAAAAACTTAAGTTTACACTAAAAATAATCGTTATTAGTACAAATCGTTGACATTTATTCACAATAATGTGATATAAACAATATAAAAGCAAACCCTAAATGTAGGAAAACCAAGATATGGAAAAAAGAACCAAGCCGTTCTTCGTCGGCAAAAAGCTAACCATCGGGATTGAACCCACTAACTAAGATCCAGGGCTCCCGGCTGATAAACTCTTAGCCAGGCTCTTAGCCAATCGGCCTTTTGCGCCCCTGTTTAACTTATAATATATGTTGCTTGTTGAACGATAAAAGCCGGATAGATAGATTGATTCTTGCGAAATTCTTTGAATCGTCTTTGCTCGGTTTCATTGAAAGTTAGCCAATATTTTGCGATCAATCCATTGAAAGTCCACTGGAGTCCATTGGAGTTCGCATTCGACAAAATAGCCGTTTCTTTAAAGAAATTTTGTAGTTTTCATTTGCCTTTTGATTTTTGCGCTCGGAAACACACCTTTTCTGCTGTACTTACTTTATTTTCTAACTTTTCCCACTCTGCTACAAGAAAAAGCAAAAGGTTTCTTTCCACTTTTTGAGCACAAAGTACAGAAAAAACAGTTGGTTGAGTAAATTTGCGCTTAAAAGTTACTGGATCAGTTCAAACTAGAGTATGCGTCTTGTAAAATGCGCCACAAACCACCGTAATCCCGTCTTACATCCATTTTTAACTAATCTATCATAATTAGATACAAAGTAAATAGATTAGATAAAAAATAGAGCAGGATTGCGATAATCGAGAATCGATTACGACAAGATGTGACCGAGAGAAGAGGATTTTAAGTTAATTTGGCTGAAGTACTCGTTTTCTTCCAGTTTAAGCTTTTCAACAAAGCTTAAACGATTAACTTACAGGACTGGCTGAGCCGGCCAAATGCTATTTGAAAAATCGCAAAAGGAAATCCAAAGTGGGAATCGAACTTGCGAGGTGTCGCTCTGGAAACGAACGCTGTACCACTCGGCCACGGCCGCACCGAGGGCCCGCGAGGAGGCCGTTAAGACCCAAATGACCACATTCCCAACAGAGTCCTAACAAAACAGTCAGTTGACTTTTCCTTGTATGTTTGGCAAATGAACCGGGACAATCTTAGAAACAAATAAATGCGTTTAACGGGCTTTGTTTCAACTTAAAGCTAGTGGTTTAAATAAGTATCGAACGGTAATAGCTAAAAGTTCATTTTATAGGTACGATGGTGAAGGTAAAGCGTTTTTCGGTCGAGCCGAAAATCGAGGCGGCTACGTGGAAGCGTGGTTTCCGAAAGAGACGACGAAAAGAACGAACTGGATCCTCTGGCCAGTGTATGCTCAAACGAGAGGCGAATGGAGGAGCAACGATTTGCTGACGGGGAAATTTCAAATTCTCACCAATCCAAGCAACGTCGTTTATCGATGGGTTCGACCTTATCAGTTGGATGATCCGAGAAACGTCTTGATCTCGTTCCAGGCAGGGATTTCTCAATTTTTCTAGAACCACTTTTTGATTTGAAGCTGGAGCGGAATTTTTGAAGGAAAAAGCAAAAGAATTGGCACCGAGAGGAGTCGAACCCGCGACCTCGTTCTTCCGTTCGTTTAAGAGACACGCGCGTTAACCACTCGGCCATGCTCTACTAGATGGCGCAGTGCGAGCGAGCGCCCTTGTCTTTGTCCCACGCGACCCGGGTTTGACTCCCGCCCGCGTCGGCACTTTTGGTTTTTTAAAAATTTAAAAACATGTTGCACATGGAATTCTAAGTCAAACTAACTATAAGCTATTTGAGAAGGCCCACTAAACAGACAGACACAGCTTTATATATAGTAGATACGATCGTCTGGTTTCTTGACTATGGATTCTGATTTCTTTCTGTCTTTTTGAAATAGCTCCGGTTTCAGGGAATGTGCCCAGCTGTTGTAATGACTGCTGGGAGAGAGCTTTTGGGAATGGCCCAGCCGGCAAACTCTCGAGCATGGACAACATATAAAAATAAGAAATCTCTACATGAAGGCTCAGAGTTTAACGAATGCTATGTACTAGTTCGAAATCCTTGAAGAGTGCTTGTTGGGTAAAGCTTTAGACAAGACTTATCCAAAGTTGCCAACCGAATACAAACTATTAAATAAACTGTTTTTTAAATTGAGACTAATTCTCAACACACAGTGAAGTTGAAAGCAAGTTATGAAAAGTATTTTTTTTTGAAACCAAACACTTCATCGACATCCTAATTTGCAATCTTTTCCCAGAAGTTTCCTTTGTTTTTTTGCACCCAAGGTTGTCTTGTCCCTTTCTACTTCTGGTCCCATCAAAAATCTTTCGAGGATTGAATTAAGGGAGTCACCTTTCCTCATCCTCTCCTTTCACAGAAAGCTTTTATTCTCTTCTTCCCCCCTCCAAAAGTTTAAAATGAGCTCCAGGCATTGGGCTCCAGCTCCAGCTCCAGATCCAAAATGAGCTCCAGGTATTAACCGATTTCTCGCACATCTTTTTGTCTCTTCTTTTTCAGATCCATTGATGAGAGTTAAAGGGTGGTATCATTTTGGGAATAGATAAGGGTAAAAATAGATGTAAAAGGAGTTGAAAGTGAATCACTAAAGCATTTTGGTGAATTCAAACACGATAGATGTTTGAATTTTAGAAAAAAGTTAACTCAAGGATAAGCAAAGATGTTGTAAATGATTATTTTTCCATGTTTTTATCCATGGCTATTGTTCAGCAGTAATTTTTGATGTCTGTGTCTATTTCTTTCGTATTATTTGTCATAATTTATTCAGTTAAAATTGTGATTTCGAAAAAATCGAAAATCCTCCTGATAAAGCGTTATGAGATCCTTCATTTTTTGAGGATTCTCTCTGACTTCTTTCACCAAATTCTCCTTTTAATCTTTTTTTTGTGGCTGGCGTTTAGAGTCGTCGAATGCAATAAACATCTGTTCACAGTTCACATTTGACAGTTATTGAAAAATATATTAAAAGCAAAAGTTGGCACTGGCCACTTTTTTTGACATCTGTTTGTTTTAAGACCAGCGTTTCAGCGATTTGCTTCAAAAATTCAGTTTCAATCCTAATTTCAATTTCAATCAATGTCTAAAACTATTGGACTTAATAAAAACCATATAACGAAAAAATATCGCACTTTTTTGTGTTAAATAACTTTTTAGAAAGAAAATAAAAATAATGGAAAATCAGAAAGTTATGAATTTTTCTATGGTCGTAATCCCACTTTTCATTTTTTTAGAGTAATTCAATCGTAACTTTTATTCTATTTGACCGATTCGAATGAAATAACTACCAAAATGTAGCTCTCGATGGGTTCTAACAATATCTGAAAGAAAATTGGCAAAAGGAATAGAGATGAGAAAGCAGTAGCTCAAATTAAAAAATGACTTTTTTAATTTTTAACTTTTTGAAAAAGTGACTTAAAACATTCTGAAATCCTACCATCTTTATTCCTCTGATTACACGGATTTTCTGGCTGAAAGGAAATAGTTGCTTTTATGTGAAACTGTAATTGCTTGAGAAATTTGGCTCTTTCTTGGATTGTTTTTTTGAAAAATCAAAACACAACCTTTCTAACATGTACTGTGAGAAAGAGTTCTTTGACTTTGAAGAGTTCAATAAGCTAGAAAGCTTGTGTTTAAGTCTGGAGTTTAAGTCAGACATTAGACGAATTGTCAATGATTGAGGATAGCTTCGTTTTTTGGAACTTTTCGGTAACCTTCATTAGCTGTAGTATACACGTCTTGCTTTTAGACTACTTAACCTTACTGGAAGAGAAAATCAACACAAAAAGTTAAAAAAAAACAATGACAAGATTGAAATCTCTTACTTGTCCGTCACCCAGCAAACTTTATTGCCGACAATATTGAATTCTTTCAAAGAAATGTATCGCTGCAGCTCTTTATCTTCGGATGAACAAGCAACAACTTTATGGTCAATAATACCAGCAGACATTTTTGTGTAATCGCATTTTTCCTAAAGCCACAGCTATTTTTGTCTCTTTTTCGTTGAATCGGCATCTCCAGGAAGTGAATTGGTGATTACCCTTTAAAAACGCATGCGGTTGCTAGATTTTATTGATCACTAACTTTAAATTACAAAATTAGATACATTCTATTTTTAAGTTTTGAAACAATTTCATTTTATGAGAATTCTTTTATAGTGCCCTTTCCAAAAAAAATGCGATGTCGCAAAAGCTACCGTAGTCGCTACGCGTCTGTACAAGTTGCGTCGCGTAGCTGGAGCAAACATTTTCTCATTTTTCTTTTCCGTTTTTGATTTTTACGCACTAAAATGCTTTCCATGGTGGATTTCTTTCTTGTTTTGAATGTTTTTGGGAAATTCTTAATCTTTTGTGGTTTAGATATCGAACAGGGGCATCAGAAGCCATGAAGGTCGAAACGTGCTGCTATTCAGGCTACAAGATCTACCCCGGACATGGTAAACGGGCGGTCAAAGTGGACGGAAAGGTAGATTTGCTTTTTATCTGATCTTTTAATTACTTTGTTGAATTGATTAGTTTAGAGGGAAGTTAGTTTCGTGCAACATTCCTTGAAAATTTTGTGATTAAACGTGTATTTTATGAAAACAGCTATCATTTTAGCATAAAACGCATCCGATAACAAATGCTATAAAGAACCCGAATTTGTTTGTTAATTAACTCTGAGGAATGTTACTTTAAGGAAGAACTAGCTTATAAAACTTAAATTCACGTAATCTTTAGCATTTATTATCTGGTGAGCAACTTGTTAGCAAAGCGCATTATTTATTGTTTTATATTTCAGGTCCAAATCTTCCTCAATGCCAAATCGGCGAAAGGAACAGCGTTGAAGCGAAACCCACGTGAAATCACCTGGACGGTCCTCTACAGGCGAAAGAACAGAAAGGTACTGATTTAAACTTTTACTCCTAGACTCTTTAAAGTGTAGCTGAGTCACAAGTAGAGCACAGTAAAGCAAAATATTGACGTATTGACGTGATGTCTTTTCAATGCAATATCTTTTTGTTTAGGGAGTTCACGGTGAGGAGAGCCATTTGAAGAAGAAGACCAGAAAAGTGGCCCAAACATTGACGCGTGGTATCGGAAATCTCACACTTGATGCCCTTCTTGCTAAGCGCAACCAGAAGCCCGAATTCCGTAAAGCTCAACGCGAACAAGCCATCAAGGAAGCTAAGGAAGCCGCTGCTAAGAAGAAGACCGCTAACAAGGTATCTATTTAATTAATGCTGTAGCCGTGATCTTTTAAACTGCTTAACTAATGTGCTATCGAACGAAATGAAACTAATCAGAGCTCCTAAGTTCTTCTTGCTCTCTTAAGAATTTATTTTAGGAAAAGAAAGCCGCTCAACCAAAAGTTGTTCAACAGAAGGCCGCCAAGAGTGTTAAGACTGCAGCACCCCGTGTCGGAGGAAAACGTTAAACTTTTTTTGTTGTTGAAATAAATATTGTTTGATTTTTGTTAAAACCTGCTCTATTGGTATATTCCCTCGTTCTAATAAATTTCATGAACATTTCAACTTTTTAAAAGAAGCCAATGACGGAGAAACGAGAAGACTGAGATGGGGGTTTTGGGTGTTTGCTTATTCAAAGAAAATCTGTCTGACGATGATGTTTCTGTTATAACTAGTATAGAGATACACATTTCCTTGAAATGTAGTTGTTTTGGTCAAATTTGAATGAAATATTTTGCAGATAATGGCAGTAAAACAAGGGAAGCGTGGAGGAGCCAGGAAGGTACTGTTCTCTCAAAAGTGTTCTTAAATATTGTATTGTTAGCCTCATGGTGGCGGCAAAAAGAAGGGCCAGCCCAGTCAACAGGAGCGTCGTAAAGTTGTGAAGCAGCAACATAAACAGCAGTTGATGGTTTGGTGGTTTCTCTGAAATGTGCCAATTTATTTTTAGACCGTCCTTAAAAGCAAGGTCAAAGATGAGCTGGAAAAGTTATCGACGTTGGATAAGCCAGTACAAAGCCCAACCAACTCGGAAAGCAGTTTTGGATCGGCACCTTTGCGCAAGGCTTTTCCCAAAAAGAGGGTATTTTACAGTATTCCTACGCTGACTAGTTTTTTATTTAGGTTTCCTTTGCAAACAAAGTGCAAAGTAAAGAGTTTCACATCAGCGACTTAATCAACACTTCGACATCAGAGGCTTCCCCAGGAAGAAGTATTTTGACACCAAAAAGAGGAGCAAAATTGGTAAGAATAATGATGAATGCTATGCACTGCTTAATTTAGAGTCTACCGAAGAAGGAGCTTGTTGTTGAAAAGCACGTCGAAGAAACAGTAAAGGTGGTGGAAAAGAAACCCGAACTAGTGGAAGAAAAGCCGTCAAAACTCGCCGGAAAGTCTCAACCTACAACATTTGGAAACAGAGTTGTGAAGAAGAAAGAGGCGGTTAAGGTAGATATTTTCTGCTTTAATCAACTATAGAAAGGCCTAGATGCTCAGAGATCGAATAAACATAATTACAATTAAATACCTTCCTAGCAAAGTAAATTTTTGTATTTAGGTGACGAAAAAAGTGAAAGAACAACTGCTGTTGATGCCTCGCAAAGAACGCAAAGCCTTCCTCGTCGAACTTCGAAAGAAACAAAAGCCAAATTTTACACTTGCTGCTGAATGCAAAACGTTGTGGGAACAAGCACGGATGTAATTTTTTAAAACTAGCATACTTTCGAATTTTTGCTTGTTGTAAATATTTGACGAACAAGTATGATTTGTTTATGTTTAGGGGAAAGACGCCTCAAGCTAAAAAGGATGAGCTCATTAAGGATCTGGTCGGGAAAGTCAAGGTTTCTTTTTATTTTGTTTAGCACACCTCTACTTTGTTATAGGGACATGCCAAGGAGTTAATCTACGCCCATGATATGTCACGAGTGTTTCAATTTTTGCTGAAACTTGAGCGTGAAGGTTAGTTACTTTAACACAACTCGAAACTTTGATTTTAGGCATTACATCGATGCTTTTTGATGAGTTAAACGCAGAAATTATTCGAATGTCAAAGAGTATGTACGCTCGGCATTTTGTACGCAGAATGCTCAAATATGGGTTTGTCTTTAATGCATAATTACTAAATTAATCATTTTTAGGACAAAGCTACAAAAACAGATCATTATTGAAGCCTTCAAGGGACACGCAGTTTCTATGCTTGCAAATATCTACTCAGCAGACGTATTTACTTTTTTAAAACGTGAATTAAAATAGTTTTAGATCTTGGAATCCGTATACAATGAATATGCGGACGCTCAGCAACGTTTTAATATAATCACCGAGTTCTACGGACAGGAATTTGTCGTCTTTAGGGTTTGTACCATTCGATTACAAACATTTCGTTATCATTTAGATCGACACCATCAAAACATTGGATGAGATTCTTGCCGATGAACCGGGGAAACGACAAATGATTATGAAACATCTCGAAGAAATTCTGCTTGAGAAGTGTACAAACAAGTAAGTTTTGTGATAGCTTAAACCTCAAGCGCTTATTCAGAGTCACACTTCGGCATTCACTTGTCCACAAGCTCTTGTTTGATCTTCTTGAGCACGGAGATAAAGAGCAAAAGTCTAATCTTTTGGATTCAATCAAAGATAAGGTAATGTTTTATTATTTTAACTGGATTAGTGTTGAATTTAGATTCCGGAGATCGTTCATACTCCATACGGGGCTCGAGTGGCGATGCGTTGTGTATGGCTTGCTGATGCAAAGGACCGAAAAGTTTAATAGAGATCTTGTTTTGATAAAAACATTAACTTTAGCTTATCGTCAAGAATTTTAAGGACTTGTCGGAAAAGGCGGCTATGGAAAAGAATGGGCAAAGAGTTAGAAAACAAAGTTTTGTTATTTAGTTGTATGTTTAGGTGTTGTGGGCAATTTTCGATCAGGTTGATGACACCGTTCTCATCAACAAATTTATAACATCGGTAGGCTTTATAGAAAAAATTTTAATAAAAATTTTTTAGGAAATTGCGAACAATGTTGGAAAGCTGTTGGAAGATCGTTGGGGATGTCTGTGCTTGGAATACATGGTACATCCACGTGATGGTCGATCAATGGATTACAATGTTCGTGCTTAATCTTTGCGCCATTATCATTCTTTTCAGGTCATAAAGGAACTTGAGCTTGGCGATAAAAATACAGTCTCTAAGAAGGACAAGAAGGATAGGTTTGAGTCTAAGTGCATAAAGAAAAAATATATTTATTTAGGTATTCGGAGATTTTCTTGCATTTGATCGAGCCACTCTTGACATATTTTGCCGCAAACATGCGAAGTGCATTGATGGGTGACATGTCGGCCCTCACTTCTCACGTTCTTCACAAAGCTTTGGAGCTACAGAGTGAGTTTGAATCTTAAAGGAATAGAAATCACCTTTTTAGTTGGTCGCGACTTTTTTGAGAGAAAAGTCGACTCTCAGCTCCGGATCAACTGCTACGAAGCGATCGCAGATGTGGCGGCTGTTGACTTCATTCCTATGGACCCGAATGGATATCATCTAGTGACTTAATTTAATTTATTGCTTTAAGATTTGTTTAGATTGAGTCTCGTGCTGGTGGATGGGTGACTGGACAGCTTCTACGACAAGACTCAAAACTTCCAGAAGAGGAACGTTTGGCTGTGCAAATTGTCAAGCGAGTTCCCGAGGAATTCCTTGCCAATTGGGTTGGCTGCAATAAGGTTGGTGGAATTTGAACTAAAAATATGCTTTTTTTTAGGGGTGTTTTGCTCTTTTGCGTATGTGGGAGAACGGTGGAGTGGCTGTACAGACACATATCAAGAAAATTGTGGATGTTGACAGACTTGATAAGTAAGGATTATTTTATGATTGTTAAAAACATCTTGCTGTAAATAGCTGTCAACGAAAACATTAAATTTTAGATATTCAATGGTTGGTGCTCGTCTCCTTAAAGAAGCGGTTACCGGAATCAAATCTGCCCCTCGACCTAAAGCTTCCGATGCAGACAATGTGAAGCTATCAGATTTTATTTATCTAGTTTTATGTTTTAGGCTGAACTTTCTGGAAGCGAGACTGAAAGTGCTGGAGAGGTGATTGATTTCTTTAAAATAAAGTTATTTAAATGCTTTAGAACGAACTACGTGATGAAGACGATCAAAGCGAAGAGGAGATGGATTTCGACGAATAAAGTTGGATCTAATAACTCAATTTTGCCATTGTTTCACTCTTTTTTTTAAAATTTTAGTTTCCCGAGTTGTTCCTTGTTGACTGTTTGTTATTTCGACTTACGGGTTTTTGTCACGTTAGTTGTTACACATTGTTTGTTGAGAATAAAGAGTTTATGTTTATGTTTGCAGTATATGGAGTTTGGAAAAGCAAGCACATCTGATGATTTCTGTCAGATGGGGCGCGTCTCAAATTCAATAGCGCAACTATCGATTTTGTATCTTTATCATTTTAATCTCTCCGATTGTTTCATGTTTCCGGGGGCATCGTTCGATCGCTTATCAGATTTTCCGAGAGACAAAAAAGAGGTTCCAGAATCATCACACTCTCGAAAAATCGATAGAATTTGAGATTTTTTCTAGTTTTGTAAACTTCCAATAGGCCTTTAGCAAGAAATAAGATTTTTATCTTTGTCTACTACTTGATCCCTTCAAGGTCATCCAAGGGTCAGCAGTCTACTTGATTCGATTGGATGCGCCAATGTTTGTAGGATAATTTTGTTAACTGTTGTATATTTTTATACAAACATTACGAACTTTATCAATTGAATTCTGCCATATTGACTTTACCAACCAAACTGCCACATCTCATCTTTCTGGCGGTGGTGTGATTTTCGCCAGCACATCGATCACTGTTCAATCTGCGCTCATTTGCAAATTCGTGCCTGTAAACGGATTAGACTTGCTTTTCGGATGATCCAAAAAGCCAACTTTTAGGATTGGATCATCCAAAAATTTTAGTTTTTGGATTCGGAGCCGACCGGTTCTCCAAAAGTTTTCTTTGAAGATTTCTGGAACAAATCCGAAAATTCGAAGACTATCAAGCATAAGGCATCGGAAGTTTCCCAAATTCCCGCTTGTTACTTTAGATTTTACATAAAGTCCCGCTAACGTTTTTTACTTTATCGTTGTTTCACAAAAGTATAAGCAACAATTTGTGTAGGGGTTAACGTGAAAGTGGCCCGCCCGCCCTTTTTGCTGTGCTGAATCGATCAAAGGGCGAATTATTTGTGAACGGGGTCAAGGCACACCCCTTTCCTCCTTTGCCTCTCTGTTACTGCTGTCATTGTTTTTATTCACTATATTCACTTGCGTTCATATTCTACAAATTGTAAAGATCTGATTCTATAGCAGATCAGCAAAAAAGGTTTTAAGGCTAGACTTTAGGGAAAGCAACAAAGTCTCCGTAGTTTGTGGACTGATCAAAGGGGAATCTTCTTCTTTTCCTTGCCGCTCTTTGCCCTTTGCAACAATGACTCTAGACGTTTTTAAAAGAAAAACTCCAATTGATATAAGTTCAGCTTTTTGGGCATTAGAATTTTCAATGCAATGACAGTTCTATTTTTATTGATATCTTAAAAATCTCAGCTGTTTTCAATCTAAAATCCGTTTTACTTTCAAAACACAATGATGGATTTGGGCAGGTTTTAAATGTACTTGAAAGAGTATAATGCACGGTAAATTGCCCGATTCTCAATTTTAAAAGCCCTCTCATTTTGCTATTGATTAGTTGATCATTGAAATGAAAAATAGCAAATTTGTTATTTGTTATCTTTACTTAACACTCACATTAACATCTAAAATATTTTCTACTTTTATTCATTTTCCATTGTTCATTCATTTCATTCATTTTCTATTTTCCTATTTTTCTTCTTGTTTGCTCATCTTTTGCCATTTTTGTGTAATTGTCCATCCATTCAATTGTATTGAAGTATTGGTTTTTTTTACTACTAAACTTTTTTTTGCAAACTAAACTCATCGTAAATTTTCCAGGAAAAGAAATGGCTTTCTCCAACTTGGTCACCGATTTACCCGTCAAGGGGAAAACGTACAAATTCTACGATTTGACCGCATTGAACGATCCGAGATATGGTAAATTTACAATAAAAAGCTTTTTACTATTCTTTAACTGACAAAATTTTAAATTTCAAATCATTCTAATTCTAGAAAAACTCCCAATCTCCATTCGTTACCTTCTCGAGGCGGCCGTTCGCTATTGTGATGATTTTCATGTGAAAAAGGTAAAACATTTAAATATTTGAAATAATTAGTTGATCATTTGATGAAAATCTAATAAAACCTGATTCCAGGCCGATGTTGAAACGATTCTGAACTGGGAAGAGATGCAAACGGCTCAAGCCGAGATTCCGTTCAAACCGGCGCGTGTCATTCTCCAGGATTTTACGTGAGTTTCAAGACATAAAAATTAAATTTGAATTTGTTATAAAATAAAACTAAAACCTTGAAATACACATTTTTTTTTGTTTCATTTCTTTCCGTTCACTGGTTGTGATTTCTATTAGTTGTGAAATTCAAGTAAACCTTTGATATAGCGTTTTTTTTCAATTTCTATAGCTCTTTTAGCGTTTAAAACTTGAAATTCTTTGAGGCAAGTTATGTGTTTTTACTTTAAAAGAACCAATTACTTGAGAAAATAGAATAGTTAACATCACGGCTGTTTCTAGAGTCGATTTTTTTAGGCCAACCCAAATCAAGGCCAAGGTTTCAGGCCTAATTCAATAGCAATTAGGCGAATTCAATAGCATGGTTGTATTGACTGGCTTTTGTTGGCTTTTTGGAAAAAACAGGGTTAAAATTGTTATATTTTTATCAATTTCCAGCGGAGTACCAGCTGTGGTCGATCTAGCCGCCATGAGAGACGCTGTGCAACAAATGGGAGCCGATCCAGCGAAGATCAACCCGGTTTGCCCGGTCGATCTTGTCATTGATCATTCCGTTCAAGTTGATGCTTATGGAAGGCAAGAATAAATAAGACAATCTTCAATACTTGAACGTATTTGTTGCCATTTCGAAAATTTCAGTCTTGACGCTCTTGCGAAGAATCAAGCGATCGAATTCGAGCGAAACAAGGAACGCTTCAATTTCTTGAAGGTACAAAATTGGAAACAAGCTATATAGAAAATCTATCAATAGATTTGCTATTTATTTGATAAATTTCGTTATTTAATATTGATAGATTGATCAAAATTCTCAGCTAACAATTTAGCTCAATGAAATCGATTTCAGTGGGGCTCAAAAGCTTTCGATAATCTCCTCATCGTTCCTCCTGGATCGGGAATCGTTCATCAAGTGAATCTCGAGTATTTGGCGAGAACCGTTTTTGCGGACAAGGTAAAATAAAGATAATATAAAAGAAATTCAAGGGAATATTTTTAAAGCCTTTGAACTAGTTGATAAGGAAATCTCAACTCAAATGTAGTAGCCAAATGACATGTGCCATAGACAATTCGATGACGCTGAATCCGAATCTGCTTTCCGTTTCTGATATGGAGCACTCTGTCAATAGTTATAAGCGCTCAAAGTTTTGTATGGGATTTTTGTAAAAAAACACCCTGAGTTTATAAGCAGATTTTCTCGGGGGTCGTGGGGAGCAGTGGTGGCCGAGTGGCAGTGGGTTAGATTACAAGGTGAAAGCACCCCTATGGCCTCTAGTTCGAGTCCTCCGCTCGACTTTGGTCTTTTGCTTCTTGGGGTTGCAAAGTTAAGTGGTCTCTGTTTCAAATACAGGTTTATTTTAAAATAGTTTTCATATAAATGTTTACTTTTATTAACATTTATTAATGTATTAACATGAAAAATTTCGCCACATCCAGTTGAGTTTACAAACGGAATTCGAGTTTTTCTTATGTGTTTGATATTGAAATTGATAATGTAAATTGATTTCGATTTTCAGGATAATATTCTCTATCCGGATTCGGTTGTTGGCACTGATTCACACACGACGATGATTGACGGATGCGGTGTTTTGGGATGGGGAGTCGGTGGAATTGAGGCCGAAGCGGTCATGTTGGGACAGCCGATTTCAATGGTTTATTTATGCGATAAGATTGAATAAAGATTGTAGAAAATTTAGCTAATCTTAAGCTTCAACACTTTTAATCAAAAATTGCTTTATCAGGTTATCCCCGAGGTGGTCGGATATGAGCTGACCGGCACTCTTCCATCAGTCGCCACAAGCACTGATCTCGTTCTCACAATCACTAAGGTAAAAGGAAAGAAAGAGAAATTGAGTTTCTTCAATTTAAAATCACTTTTCAGAACCTTCGTGATCTTGGTGTCGTCGGGAAATTCGTCGAGTTCTTTGGCGAGGGATGCGCCTCATTGTCGATCGCTGATCGGTAAGAAAAAGATATATATTAAGTCCAAATCCGAATTCATCTCTTTTCAATTAACCATTAACCAACCAAGCTTCCATTGAAAGCTCAATCAACAATTAACCAACCAAGTTTTCATTGGAAACATTAGAAACGTTGGTTTTAGTTGACTTTTAATAAGCTTTCTTGCAATCTGAAGCCATTATTATTTGAATCATTATTTGAGGCGTTATTTGAGAAGCCAAAAAGCAATTTTGTACACGGTATGCCGAAATCTTCTCACAAAACTTTAATAAAAGCTTTTGAAATAGCAAATATGTGAACGGATTTCTTTACACTGGATGCGGCTGGCTCAGACTGGCTCAGAACTGGCTCAGACTGGCTCAGACTGGCTTAGACTGGCTCAGACTGGCTCAGAACTGGCTCAGACTGGCTCAGACTGGCTTAGACTGGCTCAGAACTGGCTCAGAACTGGCTCAGACTGGCTCAGACTGGCTTAGACTGGCTCAGACTGGCTCAGAACTGGCTCAGACGTCCGAATCTGTTCTTTGGATCGAATCCGATGCAAGCTGTATTTAAATTGATGCAAATATGGGCTTAGTACATAGTACTGGTTTGTACTGTATATTCTATAAAAGTCTAGCTCTATCTTAGTTTTATGACTTTATAGCAAAAAGGATTTATCGATTTGTTTCAATACTATGCACAGTATGGACCAGTACCAAGTACTACGGGCCAATATTATGTAAAGTACGTAGTACTATGTACAGTGCTACAGGGCAATATTATAGAATTAGCATATTTCATCAATTTAAATACAGCTTGCATCGGATTCGAGCTAAAGG